AACTGATTTCTTCTGTGCGAAAACCAAGAGTCAGTCCCGTGCCGGGTCTCTCCTCCCTCCTACACTACCTTTCTAGGCCTTAACTCGGCCGTAACGTTCGTGGTCCCCGGAGGAGGCTAAGGAGCTGAGAGAGGCGGGGGTAGGGGGGTGTAGTGGGGGAAGGGCCTGGGACCCGCATCGACTACAAGACCATTCCGCCTGTCCTCCCTCGCTCAGAGCCGGGTTTAGAATCGTGTCCAGCACCTCCCTTTGGGCGCCTCTGCGCACACCTGCGGCGCCGCAGAACCCAGAGTCCTTCCCCCTCTCCATCAGGAAGCCTGCAAATGTGTTTCCTCAGGTAGACAGCCAGGAAGGCAGAAGTTTAAAATACCGGGGCAGAAATATCTGCCGGTCCTAAAGGACATCGAACTGGATTCCCACGGGGCCTGGGTGCATGCGGCGAAGGGAGAGGAGAGCGAGGGAGCTCTGCACCGCCCGCAGCCAAGAAGGGGCCAGAGACCCCGTGCGCCTCACCGCCGCCTATGCGGCGCGCCCGGGGCGCAGGCGGCGCCAGTGGGACTTACCCCAGAGCAGAGTGAGCGGCTTAGCTTTGGGGATGAGCACCAGGGAGTACACAGCCCCCAGGTGGAGCAGGCTCATTAGGACGACGTTCCTCCAAACGATGTTCTGGCGCTGCCCGCGCATGTCCGGCCTCTTCTGGCCGCCGTCGCCCTCCGAGGTTTCGACCCGGGCAGAGATTTCCTCCTTAGCATTGCAGAAGGGGACCTTCGCCCCGTCTGCGGTAGGGCCTCGCATGGCTGGTGAGAAGTCGCCCCGGATGCAGCTGCGGCGGTAGGCAGACGCTCTGCCTGCTCAGAGCTCGCCGGTGGGGGCGGGGGCTTCTGTTTTTTTAGAGGGTTTTCTCCGCACCTCCCGTCCTCGCCTTCCCAGCCCTTCTCTCTGGTTCCTTCTGTCTTCAGGGTCTCAGCGTGGCCTAAGGATGCATATATGGGCGCCCAGCATCTGTTGCTGGCGTATCACCCATGCCTGTCACAGCGGAACTCAGCCGCGAGGAAGAGGAGGCAAGTGCGAGGGGCGGGAGGGGGGCAGAGGGGTGGGAGGAATGAGGGAGGGGCTGTGGTAAGACAGCGGAGAAAGCGACGAGGGAGGGAGCATTCGGAGGGAGCCGGGGGAAAAAAAGACTGCATAGCTACAGCCAATCAGGCTTGCCTGTGGGGCTCTTAAAGAGAAAGGCGCCCCTTGGTCTCCGCTGCCTGGGCTCTCCAGGACCAGACGAGGGAGTCCGCCTGACAGGCAGTTGGCAAATTCCGCCCAGGGTCCCGGGTCGGTGGGTGGGTGGACTTGACTCCTGGGCTAGGGAGCCTGAAGAGTAGCGCACAACACTTTTGTTTGGTTGTTTTTTTTTCTTTACACCGCAAAATACCCTTTCCCAGACTATCCCTTTTGAGAAGTATTTTCTTTTTTTCTTTTGAAGCCACAGACTTGTGCCCAGAGTCTCAGCACCAGGTAAAGCTAGATCTGAGATGAGAATCAGAAGTCCCACTTTCTGCCGGTTAGTAAGGCCAGCTGGGCCAATTGAGGGATGGAGGGCAACCGCTCAACTCTTAATTAGGCAGCGGTGAATTATCCCCTGCTCAGGCCAGGCGCACAGTAGGGGCTCAATTAGTGCCCATTGGGTGATGACTGGGGGCGGGGAGGGCGTGTTGGTAGCCAACAGTGCCCTGTGCATTTCGCAGCCCATCAGCCGCACACGGCTGTGTTTATGGCAAATTTTAGGCTAATTAGCCCGTGCTTCTGGAGGCCTGCGGGGGAGGGGGGGGGTGAAAGCCGTTTGCGATCAGCTGCTAACCTAAAGGTTGGAGGTTGGAACCTGCCCCATGGTTCTGCGGAAGAAAGGCCTGGCGGACTGCTTCCTTAAAGATTACAGCCAAGAAAACCCTATGGAGCAGTTCTACTCTGTAATACATGGGGTCGCCGTGAGTAGGAATGACCTCTATGGCAATGGGTTTTTGTTTGTTAGTTTTAGCATGCTTCTGAACTATCTCCTTAGCTCTCAGTTAATGTAGCAATAACCTTAAAGTCAGCACCATTAAGAATCAGCCTTGAAAAAAAAAAAATCACCCAGAACATTCCAAGGAAAAGTAATCTGTGAAAATTTTGTGTTTGCATTTTTCTCCCCTCCTAGAGCAGATGATTTAGACCTGCCCAGAGAGGGCTCTAGCTGCACAGAAAATGCAAAGAGGGGTGAGCTGACCATGTCCTGGGCAGGTATGGCTGCACCTGTAGGTGGGCAACAAAAGGAAAAGGACTCAGGACTGGAAGCTGGGAGCCCTGCATCCTAGTCCTAACTCACTGTGACCCAGCTCATCTCTCTATAAGCACATATTTCTTTACCTGGGAAATGGAACCAGTAATCTCTGTTGTTCCTTCCAGCTTGCAAATTCCATGAATGTGAGTTTTACGGGGTGCCATTACACTGACCTTATGTGGACAAATGAAGTTGATTTTTTAATCACCCGGTATTTTTCTCTCCAGGAGAGGAAAAAAAAAATTACAAAGAACTGATTGCATGAAAGGGTTGTACATGAGCAGACCTGAACAAGTCCGATCAGCTGGATAAAACAGTATCTAAAACTGAATCAAGGTATGTAGCTTGTACAGTTGGAGCCACTAAGTCAGTGTTCTGGTGCTTCAAATGGAGCTGAAATTAGTGAATGAAATGAAATTTGCCTGGGAGCCAAATAAATGTGTGCACTGTGTAATGCCTAGTGAGACAGCAGAACATGAAACTGGAAGATGTGAATTTCACCAGCCTGCTCAACCCAAAATGTATAATGAACCACTTCTTTTCTCATATTCCCTCTGCTCCTCACTACCACCAGACCCACGTACCTACCCCTGTGGCTTTCTGGCCCAGCCTGACCTTTCTGTCTGAGGTGGACTAGTTGCTCAGGCAAAAGCATCTCTCTGAATTATTGTAAAGACTCACCCTACCCTCACTTGAACCATTCAGTCATTTGTTTGACATTTATTGGGCATCTGTTATGTGCCTGGACTGGTGGGCACAGGGAATACAAGGAAAAATAAACTATGGTCCCTGCCCTAAAGGAAATCTCCATTTAGGAAGGAAGATCGATCAAATAAATGTAACCACTTGGCTATGGCCTTGGAGATTTGGAAGGGCAGGAAGATTCAGTCAATTACCAGAAAAATAATGTATTCCTATTAGGCATCAGTCCAGGGGAAGCAGCAAAATACTTTTATCCCTCTGAGTACCTTTACCTATTAGATAAGCTACTCTATCTTGAATCTATCTTGCATGAACATTATCCTGTCTTCCCTCCAATAGGTAAGGCTCAGTGGGGCCAATCCTTCCAGCTGGTTTTCCCCATGATGGAGGAGGGAATGTTTTAGTAGAGGGCGGGGCGGGTTGGTGGGGGGGGAGTAGTGCTGCCTCTAAAAGAAAGGGCTGAAGGAAAATGACCCCTTCAGATCCAGCTTCACAGTGAAACAGCTACAATATACACTCTCTGCGCCCCATGGCGATACTCTTTGTTTTATGAGCCAATCTGTTATTTAGCTGACAGATGACCTTCAGGGGACAGTTTCAGTTGAAGGTTTAAAGAGTATCTCAGGGCAGTAGTCTCAGGGAGTCCTCTGGTCTCAATTGGTCCAGTAAGTCTGGACTTTTTAAGAATTTGAGTTCTGTTCCCCATTTTTCTCCCATTCTATCAGGATCCATCTATGGTGGCCTTGATCAGAACGGTCATTAGTGGTAGCAGGGCACCATCTAGTTCTTCTGGTCTCATGGTAGATGCGGTGGAGTTTCATGTGGACTGTTAGTCCCGTACACTTGTTTCTCCTCTGAGTCTTTGGTTTTCTTCTTTCTGTTTTGCTCCGGATGAGTAGAGACCAATAGTTGTGTCTTAGACAGCTGCTTACAAGCTTTTAAGACCCCAGACACTGCTCACCAAACTAGGATGTAGAACATAAACTTTATGAACTATATTATGCCAATTGACCGAGTTGTCCCACGAGACTATGATCCTAAGCCTTTAAACCCAGAAAACCAATCTCATGAGGTGTTTATGTCTAAGAAGTATCCGTAACTGAGCCCCCATGTGATTTATTATATATATGAATATACATACATGCACACACCTACATGTATATACACATATATACAGAGACATCTATATGTGCATACATATGTGTACACACATACATGCTCATACTCATATATACATACATTTGTAACCACATACACATTTTTTGGTTATTGTTGGTACAAAGTACACTCTTGCTAATAATGACTGTCCCCTGTGGCATATTATGCCATCAAGGTCACTGTCTCTTTTCTCTATTGTGCCAGAGACCAAAGTATAAGTTCTAGTTTCCTGGTCAGAACCCCAGAAGTAGATGGATATTCATCTCACTCCAGAATCAACGCAAAGGGAACAGTAGCCCTTATCTTGGCAAGCAAATAATTACCAGAAATATAATAAAAGCCATAATAGTGGTATATTTAAGATAAAGTGGTGGCACAAAGTAGGGAGTAATTCACCTTGGAGGGGGTAGGAGGGGGTAATATCTGGGTAAGGATTTTGAAGCAGCACTGTCTAATAGAAATATAAGGTGATTCACAAATTCAAGTCATGTGTAATTTTAAATTTTTTGGTAGCCACACTAAAGAAAGTAAAAAGAAGCTCAATACATTTTAATATTTTATTAAACCCAATATATCCAAAATATTATCATTTCAATATATAATCAATATAAAATTATTGAGACATTTAATATATTTTTTCATACTACCCCTTTGAAATCTAATGTATACTTACAATATATCTTAATTCAAACTAGCAACATATTAAGTGCTCAGTAGCCACATGTGGCTAGTGGCTACCATACTGGACAGCACCGTTTTGAAGGATGAGAAGGAGTTTACCAGACAATGCAGTGGCAGAAGCCATTCCGGGCAGACAAAAGAAGGTGAGCAAAAGTTTTGTATATGGCCTTCAGGAAGGTGTTTGGAATGTCTGAAGTGAAAGTTGGGAAACAGTGGTAGATGAAGCTGAAATTTCATGTAGTGGGCAGCCCATGGCAGTAAGTGGTCTTGAGTGCCATGCAGGATGAGCTTTATGAAAAAGGCTTTATGTGCCATAATAATATGATCAAAGTTTGTATTTCAGAAAGAGCACTGTAGCAGAGGTGTAGAGGATGATTGGATGGGGCTAGGAGGAGGTGAGACTGAAGGCAAGAAAGACTGAAGATCAATTAGGATACTATTATAGGAGTCTGGTTGAAAGATGATGAGCATCTGAAGTAATGCATAGACACAGAACCTGGAAAGAGAGGAGGGGATGAAGTCAGAGAAACTAAAATGGGAGAACCAACAGGATTTGATGCTTGATTGAATATAAGGGAGGAGGAAGAAAGTATATAGGATACTTTTTGGGTCTTTGGCTTGTGTGTTCAGGTAAAAGACAATGTCATTCATTGAGATACTAAATCTCTGTGTCTAAGTTTTCTCTTTTATAAACCTTATAGTATTCTTGTGATGATTAAAATTAATATTAAAAAAAGTGATTAGAACAATGCTTGGCATGTAGTAAGGAATACATAAATGTCATTATTATTTTTATCTTCATAATTATTATAATCACCATTTTTGAGATAAGGACTAAAGAAATAGGAGCAAGTTAAAGAAGGAAAGTAAATCGTGTTTTAGACATCCAAGTGAAACTATTGGGTAGGCTGTTAAATATATAGTCCTAGAGCTCTGCAAAGGTCTAAGTTGGAGATAACAATTTAGTCCAAGTTAAATATAGTAAAATCCATGGCAGTAGAAGCAGTTTTCCAGGGAAGGTAAGAAGAGAAAAGGGCTCAGGATAGAATACTAGTGAACCACAATTTACGAGAATGGCAGAGAAAGAGAAGCCAGTGTCATAGACTGAGAAGGAAAAAACAGACAGGAAAGTCAGCAGAGTGTGGGAGAGGAAAATCCATAATATCAAATGTTACAGAGAGGC